CCAGGAAAATGAAGAAAATATGAAGAAAAATGGGGGGAAGAATATTACACACACCCACACCCACACACCCCCCCTCAAAATAAAAGTATTGCACAGGCAAAGAAATGCATAAGTCAAAGAAACAAACAGTAACATTTACAGAAATAAACCATTCTCCATCACATAGAGGGTAAACACGGGCTGTTTAAGGGAGAAGGAAATAGTAAAAATAAAGACACACACACACACCAAAAAAAAAGGCTGTATAACTGATTCAACCACTGTTACCAAGGAATATTTTACTCCTGAGCATTTTGGCTGAAATTATCTCTTAGCTGAGACATAGACCCTCTTGGCACAAGAGTGTCTGAATATATCCCGAAGGCTGGAAATGTTTTTCAGTTCCACTAGTAACCTTTCATCAAAGCACCTTTCATCAAAGCACAGCCCAGGGATTCTTGTGGGGAGATACAGGCTTTCCCCTCTTATGAGGAATGGATAGTGAGTGTCTTCACTGACAGATATTTTTGTGTTACATGGGGCTCATTTGTAGTTTGGGTACAGCGTAGGCAGGGGTACAGCAAGGAGTGCTGAGCCGATGTGACACAGAGCGATAACATCCCTAGCATAATCCAGTATCACATGGTTATAGAGTGCTATAAATACAACAGGAATTCTCCAGGGCCTAGTTCCTTCAACAGAGTTGGGCATCTCTGCATTGCCATGCATTTAGCCTGCACTAAATCAGTGTAATCCTCAGGCTTGGTTTAGTTGTGCACTGCTGTGAATGCTTCTAGGAGACTGTAAGCATCATTGCAAGCAATATCGTTGATTCTACATTATAATGAGGTTTTTGACAGATTTTGCAGTGATGTTTTGATTTATTCACTAAACAAAGGACTTATCATTACAGGCATGCCTATGTTCCTCTTGTACTGCTATACAACACATCATTCCTTTTAGGACTTGGTAACGTGCTCTTACGGTGCATTTAATGCAATGACCCCATGTAATACACAGAGCATACATGGACTGTGGCTTCTTGAAACATCACCCAAGGAGAGTTTTCTGAGGTTCAGTAACAACATTAGGCTTCAGGAGCCAGAGCCCCATCCTGTTCTTAACATGGTTGCCATTACTCTTGCCCAAGAGGACAGGCTGGGAGGGTGAAGGCTGAGCAAGAGGTTTGCCCTGCAGCAAGGCAGTGCAACTGCTGCAGATCCATGAACTGTAGCATTTGGCCTCTTGACCTCCTAATTTTTTTGGTGAGCAAGTCATCTTATTGTATAAGTGAAACACATCCTATTATTCTATGCATGATTGATTGAAAAATGCTTTACTTGCTGGAAAGACTGTTGAACAATATAGTTTCCACTTACAAAGCACTTTCCTTAAAAAGCTTCTCAGGGCAGCATCGTATAAAAATAGTTATACTAAAGTTGTGAACCAGCTTCTGACAAATCAGGACTAACAAAAGCTAAGGTATAAATAGAAGTGTTTTCGTGGGTTTTCTCTACTCTAGAGGCACAGAATCTCAATCAATGCTGGATTGTAACAAACAAAAATGCCCTTTTCCAGACACACAGGAAAACAAGGACCTTCCAGACTAGTGGCACAGAATATAAATAGGTTTTCAACACTGCTTCACAACCATAAAATTTAGCCAAAACCATAACATAAGCATTTTAGAACTAGCCACCCCATATCAGACAATTTTTTTGATCCAATTCTTTATTTTATTTCATACAAACAAGCATCTCCTGCTTTAGACAAAGGTTAAACAAGTTATGTTTTTATAATTATGGAATGAAATGTCTCCAGGCACTCAAGGATATGAGGATTATCTCAGAGTCTGCAATGTATTAGGATTCCTGGAAGGCAAATGCTGAAGAATGTAATATTACATATTGTATGTTTATATTTTGTCAGTGGGCAGAATAAATGCACCTCACTGGTCATTTTCAAAATTCATTATTTTTGCAAAGTAGGTTTTGGGTTTTTTTCTTATCGCAGGTTTTGAAACAGCTAAATGTAAAGCTAGTATTTGCTAATCCAGAGTTTGGATAATCTTGATTTTGCTCTAAACCTCTTCCTTCTTCTGCTCTGTACTGACCTTTTCTGAATCCACCAAACCCCATGCAGTCTAATCCACCATACCGAAGAGGGAAGGTCTGTTTCTGTAGGCTCACAGTAGATCTTACTGCTGCTAACCTTGCAGCTGAATCAGTTCTGCTATCACCCTTTAAGTCAGGTTTGACCAGTTATGTCTACACAGACCAGAAGCGAGATTGAACAGGGTATCTACATAATCAGTCTGATATGTGCTCCTGTTATCAGTGTAGTAGCTCCTATATTTGAAAACCCACCAACCCACCCCCCCCCCAAGACGTTTACTTACCAACAACAGAATTTATGATACCCTTGGGGTCTGTAGGAGAGATACTGGCTGCTTCGGTCAATGTATGGGAAGTAAGGATTTCAGCAAAAGTTTACTGGCATCAAATCCATCTGTATATTCTTCAGTCATCGCATAATCTTTTCTCTTGCAAATAAATACTAGGGGACCTTTTTCCATTCTGCATGGAAGTCTGCTGTTCATCCCCTTTTCCACCTTTGCAGTCATTTAACATAGTTCAGCCTCCCCAAAAGGGAGATCTGCAGCCGTGGCACAACCTCAGACCATCACTCACAAGCAGAGAGGCACAGTAATGTTGCAGGGAGAACTTACGTTCCATCTCACCATCATCCCAACTAAGACCGTGGTGATATGCAGTTAGTCTTTTTTTTGCTCCAATAGCAAACAGTGCAGCAATTATTTGAAGCAGTATTTAGTTACCTCCATTTAAAAAAAAAGATCAAAATGATGGTGTTCTGCTCCATGCTGCTGCTGGGTAATAATTTATGCTGTTTGACACCAGATAGTCTGAGTATTACTCATTAAAATAGCATTTGGGCACTTCCACTACCCAGTGATCACTGTATGAGAAATGCTTGGTGTAAAAATGACAAGTTCTTCCTGCTAGAGCTGCAGCATAAGAGATATAAGGGATCTGTATGCTGAAATTCTACTTCTGTCTGTAACAGCAGCACCAAAATAGCTTTAATAATGAATCATCCACCGATTAGATTATAAACTCTGAGATGGGCTGGAGAGTTTTGTATTATGCCTCAGACAAAGGACACTGGCAATGCTTAACTAGCAGTCACCTGCTCCTGCTCCACCTGCCATTGTGGGAGCACTCTGGAAACCAGAAGAGAAACAAAGGCCCAACAGAAATAATTGATAAAAAACTTCACCTGCCCCTTATGTTCAGGAATACAGAACTGTTGGAACAGGTGCTGTGAAACAGCTCCATTTTGGGGTCCAGCGTCGCTTATTAACTTGTAATTTGCCAGGCAATACTCTCTCTTGTACCCCGTGGTGAAGGTGATGGAAGACAGCGTCCAGGCTAAGCAAGAGTTAAGCAGGGAGTTTCCTGACTGGGCATGACACTGCAAACAGCTGCTGTGGAAGGGCTGGGCATGGCGTGGGCGCCCCTGACCTGTGCTCACCCCCTTTAGGGTTCCCCTGCAGTCCCCACGCTGCTCTGCCCTGTCAGCTGCTTGTAATGTTACGAACAGATTTCTGTGGAAGTGGTATTTTTTGGCTGGAATGATATTACATGCAGCTGATTTTAGCATAAGCAAGAGCTTAACACTGAGAACCACTAGAACTCAACATTGGAAAATTACTTCCTAGCTTTAACTTCCAGTTAGAAACTTTGCTCAACTATCTTAACTAACTTTTTCCAGGCCCTTTGCTCTTGTCCCATGACTCTTGGGGCCTATTTATTACAACTACAGAGGCAAAACCCCTCAGGGGAGATAGTCCATATGCTGGTTCTTGAATTAAGTAAGAATTAATTAAGTTCTTGAATTAAGACACACCAGTGTGTCTTTTACTGGTATAAAAGTATGATTTTTAAAAGGGGACTTTAGAAGCAGTTTTACGATACCAACAAGAACTGCTATCAGTCTGGCCTTAGAAATAAAGCCAGTTTTACAGGAGGGTGAGGGCAGGGACACTGTGGAATGAAAGTATCAAATCCAGTTAAAAATTATTCATTTTGCCAGTTGTTGGAGACACTACAGAGCACTGAACATGACAAAACAAGTTATTGTTAAAAAGCACTCGGGAGGCAAACAGTTGTCAGTCCCTGTGGATCAGAGCAGAACTAGTGGTATCTGGGCGAGGGGGTCCGAGTGAGCCGTGGCATGGCCAGCACCCGCAGGGGGAAGGCAGATGTACTCTGGGCAAGGTGTGCTCCCTGCTTGCTGAGGGCTTCTGCGGGGCGGGCAGAGCGTCGGGCAGCTCTCGTGGGAGACGGGGACCAGAGATGGGTAGCTGAAGGGGGCCACAGCTGCCAGAGCTCCAGGCAAATGTCACTGTCCTCCACCACCATGGTCAAACTGAGCACAGGTAGCAAAGTCTGCCTCAGGAATGTGCAACACATGGAGCTTTGCTAGTGGGACCTTTTGAATGAACAACAGATAAGTTCTGGAGGCATCAAAACTTATCATTCTGCAGCTAGGAATTTACAGATGCCACAGGCCACACAGATATTTTTTTTTTCTCCTTTTCTCTGTCCCTTCTACCACTACCCTTTATGAAAAAACAGAAGTTAAATGAAAAATAGCTTTAATGAAACATTCAGGTTGAGAAATCAAAATCAGACACTCCAACAACAGGAAGTTTCAAAGCAGTGTTCATAACAGCACATTGCTGAACTGTAGCATACTTGCTTTTTCTTTAAGCCGTATTATAGCGTGTGCCTCGATTCAACAGCTCAGCACAAAGATAGTATCGTGGCGTTGGTTTAACGCGGCAGAATTTCCTAGGCATAGAAAAGTGAATTGAACTCAACCTCTGAACAATTTCCTGACTCCTGCAATCAGCGCTGCAACTTTGGTCTTTCCAGTAAATGCATCTGAATTGTTTCCCTGTGCAAATACGCTTAAACTTGTTTGTTATTTTATTCTAGGGAGCTGGAGACAGTTTTGTGGGAGCACTGGCCTTCTACCTGGCTTACTATCCCAAGTTACCCATGGAGGAAATGATCAGGAAGTCTAACTGTGTTGCATCAGTGAGCGTCCAGGCATCAGGGACACAATCTTCATATCCTTTCAGGAAGGACTTGGCTCAGGACCTTTTCTAATTGACATTGTCTAGCTCCGTGTGCTGATTTTATCTTATCCCAGACAGCATTATTCTCCTGACTGCACCAAGGTTCTCCTTTGCTGACTGAAAACACCAGGAAAGTCTCTTTGCTCCTTATTTGAGAAATCCTATTAGTTCCTGTTCTACAAGTTAGATGGGTGAGGGTGGTGGCTCTTTCAGACACAGCACAGCAGGTCTCTCTGGCCCCACACACCATCCCTGGGCTCATGGCTGTCCCCTGCAACACACTCAACTGAAATACACCAACTTTACAGCAGAACATCTGGAGGGTAGCAGGCTCCTGGCAAGATTTTTACTTGATTTTATCAGAACTTCTGATGCACACTGCCAGCACCTGAAGCAGAGCATGAGCTTAGAGACTGCAGCTTCAGTCCTCAGCTGCAAAGACCAAGGCTGACATTTGGCTTGTAACAAAGCAGTGCACCTGGAGTCCCCAGCCAGCCCCTCTGCTCCCACCTGCCGCAGACACCGGGTGCGGCCCTGCACTCTGCCACACTGCGGAAGGTGCTTGAATGGGAAAGAGGACGAGAGTGCTATCAAGGTAAACTTTGAAAAATGTCTCTAGCAATATTGCTCTAAACATTGGTGAGCTGCTTGAAGAAAAACTTTCAAAAACATCAGGGAACTACAGGGGCTATCTAATTTCCTCATGCTTGACAAAAATCCACTAGTGAAAAATCCATCCTGATTACCTGCCTGAAAAGAACACAGCCCTCTCAGCTGTGGTCATAGCTCATCCAAAAGCTCGTCTTACTTCATAAGGTTCCCCTTGCTTCTTCCTTTCCTAGGAAGGAGCTGGTGCAACACTACCCCTCCAAGGACTGACACCAATGCGTGGTCACTACTGTTGAATCTGTGGCTGGTAGGTTAGAAAAACTTGCAATCCTGCCATTGAATTCCTGCTGTGGAAAATGTTAATTTTTATTGCCTTATAAAACAATAGTTCCTTTGAAGATTACAGCCTCTTTCACAATGGAAAACACAGACAATGGGATTTGCTATTTAATTTTTTTTTTAATTGAGTACTGTAAAAATAACTCAAAAGATAAATAAATGTTACTGTGATGATCTATGCCCAGACATTAAGAATTTTCTCTCCCTACATTGTTTTATTCACAATGGCTTCAAATCACAGGAGACGGTGATTCCAGTTCATTTCCTCTCCTTTCAGCCCATGTTGCTTGATTTCTGAATCAGCGTTCACCCTGTCCTCCCTCCAAACCGTCCTCTCTCATGCATAAATCAAGTCCAGTCATTGTTCACATAGAGCGGATTTTTTTCTTCTCCGTGAAGAGGACACGTTGTTTTGCTACAGGGAAAAAAAAAAATCTGTTAAGAAGCCTGAAGTGTTAAGATGCAATTCAACAAGCCTACATCCCTCTCTCCTGGCTGCCTTTGCTGCTTAAATGAGTGTGGAGCAACTGACTGGCACAGCGCTGCTGTTAACCAGCTCTGAAGGAGTTTAGGAGTGCTTTCACTTTACCACACGTAATTTTTAGTTCCTAAGAGGTCCATTTTACCTCTGTGAAAATAAGTATCAGGATCTGAGTGGCTGAAAACGTTCAACAGCTGCTCTGTGTGACTATTCTGAGTCACAGCTGCTCAATGTAGGAACAAAAATAGATTCTTACTGCTTTCTACAACTCAACTTCAGAGCCCAAACAACTACAGATGATGAGCTGGATCGAGTTGCTCTCACAGACTGACTGAAAAGTGTCCTGCGGCTCTCTCGAGGAGGCACAAACTGACCCTGCCTCCAACACCCATCAGATGTTAACAAAGTCAGTTCAGCTACAGGTTAAGCATAGCCAATACATTACTAACAAAAAAAAACCCCACAACCACCTTAAAAATAAAGCTTTACAATGCCATTTTAAAAGCACCACTGTTCTGATAGAACTTCATTACATGAATTCCTTTGAAAGCTACACAACAGCAATCCGCACAATAACAAAATCTCTGCTTCCACATAAAAGTTTCGCTTTAAGAAATACTGCAACTTAGTAACACATTCTGTTGCTGCAGTTAGAAGGTAGTGAAACTTGGGCACTACTGCCACTACTTTGCTAAAAAGCTTCATTCTGTGGAGGTCCCAGGTTTTTGAGAAGTACAAAACATAAGGTGAAAATGCATGCCAAGTGAAAATGCTTCCTAACATATTCCTGATGTGAGTTGGTATCTAGACTCAAATTTACTTCCCTTCACACATGCAGCACTTTCTCACATCAATTTCTCACTTGTGTTCTACTACAGGCTACAAAGATCAGAGCTTTTTTTCTTAATTACTTCCAATTTTGTACTTCAACAACCTACTACATGTTCTGCAACAGAAGTGCTACTTAGCCTGAGCTCTCCAATCTCTTCACATTTCCTACAAGTTGCGAAGCTTCTGGAGGATCACTCTGCACAATGTTTCAATGCAGTAGTTGAAACTTTTCTTACTCAAGAAAATAATCCCAGTGATCTCCTATTCCCCTTCTGTGTGGAATGCAGGAGAGCCACAACCTCTGGTTGTGCTTTGTCAGGAGCTTACTGCTTCTCTGGTGGTTTCTCTCACCTGTCATAAAGCTCCTGTACTGTTAGATCTGAGTATGAAAAGGTTAGCCCTCTAACAAAAACACAGAATTATAAGAAAAAATAAGCTTGAACCACAGAACTACTGGCCATGTATTATGTTACCTACTTAGAGCCACTTAATACATTTCTTTATAGATTTAAATAAGCCTCTTCTACATTAACTCAGCCATGCTGTTTCTAGCATGGTCTGATTTAAATTCTAAGTTTCCCCAAATTAAGCTTTTTAACATGAAATTAAGCATTTTAAGGTTAACTACAGACTGGTTCCTCCCCCGGAAACTTGAGCTCTTAGTCACCTTTCAAAAAACTTGGTGAGCAAAAGGCAGCTTGGCAAGTGCTATAACCCCCCAACAAATCAGATTCTTAAACAGAAAATTTGTGAGGACCAGAGGAACATAGAAGAACCCACAAACTGTCATCTGAAAAGCAGTATCATTTGTGGAGGAGGATAAACTCGTGTTTATTTCTTTAAAAGAAAAGTCCATATTGTAAGCAACGGTTAAAATTCATTGTCTAGAGCACCCATGGCAGCTTAACAGAACATTTCTATTGATGCAACTTCATGGCTGCTTGTTGGAGGTAGCACAGTCTAGCAAACCACACAAAGAAATGGAATGAAAGAACTCCTGTGTCACTTTGCTTTGCCACTGACGTGTGGCATGGCTGTCATCAAATACCGATGTGTCGGGCAAGTCATTACTTTGTTTCACTGCCTCAATCTGTAAAATGAGGGCAATGTTTACTTCCCACTGGAATGTCATGAAGAACAGCAACTGTATAGTCATCTGAGTATGAAACATGTTATGACATATTCTGCTTAGATGGGAAAAATCCTGTTATATTCTAATCTTTTACCCCACACAGTCAAGAGAAGTTTATACAAAGCAGGCTGACTTCTTCCCCCAGCTCTTACCGATGGGATCGTATCTCAGCAGGACCAGTTTTTCCTGCAGTCGGAGTCTCCTGATGTTGAAACCATAGCCCGTCTCGGCCGCACTTTTCATCCTCACCAGAACGTATCTAAAGTCACAAGGAACGTCTCTGTCAGTGCAGAGGCACATGGCGATGGCCCACCACGTCTGCCAGGGCACGGTCAAACAGACAGGCTTTTAGCACAAACAATTTGGCACAATCACATGAGATACTTCATCACAACTTGATGGATGATCTGGATGGGAGCATCAATACTATACGCTAAACTTACAACAGGGAGCCCACTATAAACCATAGGCTCCAGCATTGAGCTTAAGTAACTCCTGAATAGAATACAAGCCCAGAGAGAAGTAGCTCCTCCACAAAACAGTGAGGGGGAAGGAAAAAAACCAGGAAAGAAAGAAAGAAAGAAATAAAGGAAAAAAAAAAACCAACAGTGTACAGTTGATTCACTATGGCTTAAAAGATAATGGCAAGAGAGGAAGGATGATGTTTGGGTTGTAGATAAGCCAGTATCACAGACTATCACTTCCACATGCAGAGAGGAACCTGAGCAGATAGGGTGGAACAAGAGGCACACAAAAGGAGAAGCAGGGTCCCTTGGCACCATCCATCCCCCTAGAGACACAGGGCTCGATGTTAACCCAGCCACGGGAACCCCCTCCCCACTGGAGGCTCTCGGTTTGTGGGGCAGGCTGGCAGCAGCTGCAGTGCCCTAGGATCAGGGAAAGCCAAGAGAGGGAGAAAGCTGCCCCCGTGGCCCTCAGCCTGGAAGCACGCCAAGATCTGCGTAACTTCCCAGACACAGGGCATCTCCTGAAGTTTAAAAAGAAAGGTCAAACCCTTTAACCAGTCCATAAATTATGTCTTTCCCTTCCATTGCAATAGGGAGATGGATGCATCTCTGCATGTGGGCATTCAATTCACTATACTGGACTTTTCTGCTTCTAATACAAAATGGTCTGTCAAAATTAAACTTGAAGAGACATCCATTCTTCTCCATTTGCACAGTTCTGACCAGTGCACTTCCCTGAGCATTTCTTTTCAGCTTTGCAATCTTATTTACTGTTAAGTTCAACATAAACAAAAAACCACTGGATTCCTGCAGACCAACTGACCAAGCATGGTCTAGGGATTATCCCCAATTATTGTCCTCTCCTATACACTACTTCAGGTAGGATGTGTAGCACCAGTAACCACACAGAATCCTTCCCCTAGACTTCACCCACTTCCTCAAAGCTTCTGGGCAGTTTCCCCTTTCTGGGGGAATCAGTGGTATCAGTATGACCAGGCCTTGAAATTCTTGTGCACCACATATCTGAGGCAAAGCCCCTTCTGAACAGTACACCTTGTTCACCAAAATTGCTGCCCAGTGAAGAAATGTGACTAGAAGTTGAGGCAGAAAAGAACCGGGGAAAGCTACTAGGACATGAGGAGAAAACCCAAGGGAAGCACAGAAGGATAAATAATACAAGGAAATAACATATTCCTGAAGTATATTCGGGACTATACAAAAAACAGAGAAAGGAACATCAGGAAATAAAGAAAAAGAGAGGGGGTGAAAATAATAAATCACTATATTAACATTAGCAACACCATTTTTAAAAGCTACTTTTTCACCTTGTGGAAACATCCTGCTTTGCTGTTCATTTCTGCAAACAGAAACAGTAGAATGCCGAGATGTCAGACTGCTCTTCCCTGCCAAGCACATACTTGGGAACCACTTTCTTAATTTCAAACCCTGACAATTGTACAGAAATCCTGTAACAGAAGAATGTGTTCAAACCCAGAAGGTGATTGGTACCAGCTCTGCTGGGGGCTGATTCTTAAAAGGAAAAAAAAAAAAACAAACCACAGAAAATGTACCAAAGGCCATAGTTCCCAAGGTTGTGCAGTGCCAGACGTAATATACTTGCACTGAATGCAGTTTCTGAGGATCAGAAGACAGGAATGTATTCACGTAAATCTATCGGTTTAGCCCCTTGCATTCATCTAGTTAATTTTCTTACAAATCGACTTTTGGATGCAAGTCATTCTCTCCACCTTGTCTCCTTGCATCCACACTGTAAGACTACTGGTGTGCTTTAAGTATGTATTCCTTCCTTTCCAACCCTTAAAACACATCAGCTCTCTTTACAGGTCAAAGGACTGTGACTAAGGTTCTTCCAGAGCTCACTAATGTATCTCCTGAGCTGAATTACAGGAGCACTGACTGCGCCCCATCCGCTCCTCACATCAACACAAACACGCTACAACTGGGAAGCATTCTGCACCCAGCCTATGAGAAAGGTTCATAGCACCTGCCCAAAGTCCAGCCCACACACAACAAAGGCCCATGCTGTACCTCAGCTTGCCCTCCTTAGCTAAAAGTACGAAAGGTAAACAAGAGAAAGATTACGTGGATAATTTATAGCCTCTCTTTAATCACAAAGTACAGAGGCATGCTTCCCCTGTGCTGGGACCTTTGGATATTACAGCTGAGCTCAACGCAACTGCCCATAGGGCAACACCGCCTTTGCTACAATTTTAGAACCTCAGGGATTTTTCACACCATTTGTACGT